TTATACCTGCTGCCCTTCACTCTGCATAGTAATGTCTTTGAATTGAGTTGTTCATTCAGCCAAGCCTAGATAAGGGCAGAATAGTGGAGGGAGCACAATGGAGGCATAAAAAAAAAGTGCTCCATACTGGGAGGAGAGGGTAGACTTTTAGGACCAATAATTATTTTGTTCTTTTACATCTCGGCAAGGGCAAGGAAGGGCGGTGTTTTATTATGGTTTTATTTGAATCTGTTAAATGCTGCGGTGAAATCGGCTTAAGGGGGATAACGGCGTTTTGTGGTGCAAATGGGCTCTGTGGTGACGTGCTTGATGTTATTGTGCACACATATATAGTCATGTGAAATTTGTGGTGTCGTGCGCAAAGTAGGGCTGCTGGGATTTTCAAAACACCAAGATGAAGGAGTGGATGCTGCATATTTTAGTTTATTTTTCAATTTTTAAAAATGTAACCTAATTTTGAAGAACTCTGTGGAAACTTAACAAAAGGATGTGAGTGGAAATGCTAGCAATTGGAACACATTTACTGATTAACTACAGCATTTTTATAGAACCTGGAATTAAAATAAATAAATAAATAAAGGATTTGGATAAAGTTTCACCAGAGGAGTCCAAGGTTGAGAAGGCTAATATCTCACTCGATCATTAAAAGTGCACTATGTAACATTTCTGGTGGACAGGTTGTATCTGCTTGTATCCATGGAGATATTCTTGAATTATTCTCTATGGCGTTAAAATAATCTATCTCCAGTGTTGGGAAGGTTACTTTTAAAATGTATTCCCGTACAGATTACAGATTACATACACCAAAATGTAGTTTGTAACGTAATCCATTAAATTACTTAAAGTGAGTAATGTAATCTGAATACTTTGGATTACTTGATTTGCTGTAGAGAAGCAAAGACGAGGAAATCATAACCTAAGATGTTTTTGTAATAAAAGACAATGAAAGGGCTAAGTCTTTACTTAAACATATTAAAAATATTATTGATAGAAGAGGAGGAGACACAGTCCGCACAGCATGGTTTAGTCTTGTTTTAATCCAGTTTTAGTCCTGGTTTAGTCCTGGTTTAGTCCTGGTTTAGACCTGGTTTAGACCTGGTTTAGACCTGGTTTTAGTCCTGGTTTAGCCCAAAATGTGAAAACAGGAAAATACCGCCGTGTAATCCATTCATTTCAACAAAGTAACTGTAATCCAATTACCACTCATTGAAACAGTAACTGTAACTAAATACAGTTACTCATAATTTGTACTCTGATTACGTAACTCTGGTACATGTAATCTGTTACTCCCCAACACTGTCTATCTCCATAGAAACAAGCAAGTGACACCTCTTTGCTAAGTTATCTGTGGATCTGTGGATCTGTGGAGAGAAGGGATAACCGAAATAACCGAAATAACCAAAATAACTGAAATTTCGTGATATCGTATAGTCAAAATTCTCATAATAATATTGTGGACCATCGCAATATATCAAATTACAAGTCTCTTTGCTTAAATTAAGACTTATGGTGCAGCAATAGCTAAAAAAAAAAAGACAGAGGGAACTACATAGACCATGATCCTTTGCTCCATTTCAGTGCAGACTACATGAAGAAATAACAGTTCTAAGCACTTTTAAGTCGTAGTTCTTTGGATTAAGTCTTGTCAAAGCATTTTTGGAGGAAAAGCAATTAACAGTTTTTTTAGCCTCCACAAAATATCGCAATAAATATCATACCGTGAGATGTATATTGTGAAAATATTGTACCGAGAGATTTGGATATTCGTGACCCTCCCCGTCATATCGTAAGCTTTCCCATGATATTGCAATAATTATTTTACCATGAGGTTCATACCGTGATGATATTCTGTTGTGAGACTTGGATGGGGGTGTAACGACACCCCACTCAAAGTAGAGTACATGTTTTACGTATTTTTTTTCCATAAGAGACATATAAGTGAATAAAGCAAACATATTTTTAATGCCTAGGCCTGCCACAATAAACATTTTGAAACATACTGAAACTATTTTATGCCACTGATACCCTTAATGAATGGCAACACATAAATAGCAAATAAATGTATAAATAAGAAGCTGAATGAAGCAATAATTCGCCATAGAAGTCACTTAATTTTGTTGTAATGCTCTAAGATTTGAGCTGTAGAGTTGAGTAACAAAAATTTCCCCACTTTTGCAAAGGAAAAGTGTATATATTAACAATAAATATTGAGCCCCAAAATATGTTGTTCCAGCTTGCATATATTGAACCGTAAGTCAATATAGTAATTATTGTGTCAAGCCCATTAATGTCATACTGTGGAACATTCCAGGCAAAGTGATAACATCTCAGTGAAACAAGCCTGGTTGGTATAAGTGCTTTGACTTTTAAACACTTTCAGAATAGTTACGCAACACTCATTAACATTTAGTTGTGTAAAACTGTGTGTAAAACGTGACAACCAATTTGATCTTTTAGCTTCCAGGAAAATCAAAAGTCCATGACAAATATCACCATTTCAAGCTGTGTTTTACTGTTGAGTTACCTTCAAACACTGTATACAAACATGAATTCTTAAACTCACCCTTGGGCCAGTCACTTAACCCAGATCTCCAGGCTCGGTGCACCTGCCGAGACCAGAGCGTGCCTTTAAAGTCCACCGGGTGACTCCCTGCTGAGCCATGCCGCGGCTAGCATTTGAAGCTGCTAGCTAATACAGACAACAGTGTGTGTTTGTGTGAGCGGTTAACCTTTCTTGGACAAATAAAGATTAAAAATGAAAGTGGAGACAGAGGAGATGAAGCAGTGCTCACCTCGTGTCCTCTTCAGGGGAAGTTTAGTAGCTTAGAGCTGGTGGTGAACCCTTGACCATCTTCCTCTTTGCAGATAGCGTATCTTCAGAGGTACATACTCGGGTCAACAAGGAGTCAACTCAAAGCACACTGTCTGAGAATAGATTTTTTCATTCTCTTCTTGGCTCCACACTCACTCTGCCCAGCCCACATCCCGTCTTATCTCCAACAGCACATGGTGAGGTCTACTGTAGTGCTCCGGCTCTGGTCTATTTACCTGCTGAGCTATTAACAATACTTTCCCCTAATGGGTTGAGCCACGTGTTGGTGCATGTGTGGAGCAGAAACAAGTGTAAATGTGCTTTGTTTTCGGAGAGTAAGGCTGTGCTGGATGCAGATTATTGACTGCTTAGAGGTGAGGTGCAGAATGAACCGGGTCAAGTGAAGTGGGACTGAACCTTGAGAAATTGAAAATTGTGAATTTCTTTCTCTGCTTCCTGAATTTGACTCCAGTTTGTAGTCTCCTCACAGCACAGCAATAATTCTTGTTTAAAAATCTGGTTTCTAACATCAAAGGTGTTAGTTCAATCCTCAGTTACTAGTGGTACTTTGCCCTCTTTACTTTTTGAGTCTACGTGCACTGGTGTATGAATGTGTAAGAGTTTTTTAAAAATGCAGTTAAATTACATACGTGCTTAACTTGGGAGGAGGATCTGCCAAAGATGGGTAAAAGATGGGTTTAATGCCATACTTTGGAACATTCCAGGTAATCATCTTCATAGAGTGGATCCCACAACGCAGTACAATTGCTGCATTTAAAGGTCCTACTACACAAAACTGACTGTTGTGTGTCCATGTTAGAATGATGTTACCTCATCAGAAACATAGCTGGAGTATTTTGTTTCACTCATACATCTTTTAGTCATCTTTGTAATCCTTACTCTGTCTATATCTCTTAAAATTGCAATGCTCTCTTCCACAGAAGCTCTAGTTTTCAATTTTACAACTAGGGCTGGGTATCATTAAGAAGTTGCCGATATGATACATACCTCGATACACAAGCCACGATACGATACATATCTTGATGCAGCGCACTTCTGTTCGATTCAATATATTTCAAAACGATTTGATACGGTTCAATAAAAAATAGAACCTTAATCATGGCTGTGATACTAAAACTCTAAAAGTAAAAGTAAAATTAACTTGTGCAAAGTTAATATGAAAAAATGCCCATTTTAATTATCAAAACAGTGAAAATGTCAAATGTGTCACACAGAGTTTCTTTCCTCTAAACAAGCAACAAAACTGTAGCGCCGTAACAAAATAATTTAGTAAAATATACCAAAAAATACTCTTATCCATATATCGATACAGCGGCCCATGATATCAGTACTGTATCATCACATTAAACAATATGATATATCAATATTTCGATATTTTTGCACACCTCTATTTACAGCTGCCTTTTACCTTTAGTTCAGTACAGAGAGGCAATTCCATTATTTAAATTATCCAAATGATTTTAGATTGATTCTAGACCTATGATTCAGAGTGCTTCCTATTTAAAAGAAGAACTCAGCCTAAATATGAGGGATTTGTGTGTTAAACATGTGAGAATGAAATGAAACACAACTCCAGGTATGTTTATGATGAAGAAATAATATTATATCATAGATCAAGAAAAAGCGTAATATGGGCCCTTTATCATGTTTAATATTGTTTAATTTTCACTTTTCCTTCAACAAAACAAGCCATTAATTGTGTTTAAAAAGACTTAGGGCTTCTATGCTTCTAATATGTATGCTAATAGACAACATGAGTTATCTGCTCTTTGTATATTCAGTATTGTGTATAGATACAGAGTTATTTCCTACAGGCTAAGATTACCAATGCTGCACCAGCTGGAGGCTTTAAGATGGCAAACTATAAAAAATTACTGGTCTTGAAACGCAGTGAATCTTCATTTACATTGAAATGTGTGAATTTATGAACTACAGGCAAACTTGGCATTTCTTTTCCTCAAGTCAGACACAATGTATTTTCCTCTACGAGCTCCCTGCAGCGGATGCATTATGAAAGCTGTTAATTATTATGTATGTGTTGTGAGTGTACACCTTAAGGGCAAGATGTTACGAGAGAAACAAATAGTGTTGAAAGCCTCACTGCGCTAGAACAATGCTTTGATGTATTCCATTTCATTTGTGGTTTGTTTTTTATTTGCTTTTGCAGGCCTTTTCTGGGAATTCCAACTCTGAGAGCTCTGTCCGGCACGAGTTGCAACAGGGAATAGTGGCTCGCTTTCTGAGGCTAATTCCCCTGGATTGGAGCGAGGAGGGCAGGATTGGACTACGCATTGAAGTCTATGGCTGCTCCTACTGTGAGTGCACCCTCTATACACTTATAATATTGTATATAAGTATGCATTAGTACTACAAATTGTTCAGTCAGTCCCTTGTGATTTTAGCAGCCGTCCTGTGCCTATGTAGCCCATCTACTCACAAATCAGTTGCTTCTGTACACAAGCATGGCGGGTGAAAGTGATTTGCCTAAGGACACAACTACAGTTCAGTTGAAACAAAGGTTATATGCCTTCTGTGTGTGAGTGTGTTGGACAGCATGGGGGTAAACACAGTAATGCAAATATTGCATTACAGCCTTAAAAAACATAAGACATACCACTCTTCCACTGATATCACAGTGAACATACATGCTGTGAAAAGATTTTTACTCTGCAAAATCCTGTAGTTGCTTTCCTGGTTGCCTTGTGGGATACCAAGGTACCTGTAACTGTCCTCAACATCTGATCTATTGTTCCCTTCACATGTAGCAGCTGGATAGTTCAACTGGTAAGTCACTGGACTTTCAAATGGGTGACCTGGGTTCAAATCCCCCTTCTCACTCAGATTTAGTTTTTGTTTTTTTAACTGCAACATATAATTAAAAAATACAAACATTACATGGAACATACAAAGAAAATGTAGTTTATCATGCACATTACCTGTAAATATCATGTAAAATGTTCACTTTATCTTTACTAGTTTTTCATAATATAGTTGTATGAGAAAAATGCCAAAGGGGCCACTTTCAGGAGTAAACCATACATGGCACATATTAAACTTATATAAAGATTTACTACAAAGACAGCGGTAAATTCTTTTTTTTTTTTTCCTGTTTTTTTCCATATGGGTATTGAACACATTTCTTTATAACCTGAGCTCTATATTTAAATCCTACATAGCATTAGCACACGATGAAGACACAAGAGGTGAGTTTACAGCTCAAAGTCCCTTGTAGTATAAATATACATACATTTTCACAAGTTTTTTTCAAGATTCTCACAGTTTTTTTTACAGAGACTAACTGAAAGAAGCAAGAGTGCAAATTAAGGTAGAACTAATTGTACGCAAATGAACAGGCCCACACTTGGATTTCAGAAGTAATAGTGAAAATGATTTGGAGAATCTTGTAAACTTGCAGTTCTACATCTCCAATTATCTTACAATGTTAATTCATGCAAAGTTACAACATTATTTTTATACAATTGACACTGTGCAACAGCGCTAACCTCATCTTCTCAAATCCAAGTGTAGACCCATTTATTTGCATATTATTTGGCTACCTTAATTTGCAGTCTTGCTTCTTTCTATTAGCCTCTGCATAAAAAGCCAAAAATCTTAAAACACACTTGTGAAAACTCATGCATATTTACACTTACAGGAAACTTTGAGCTGTAAACTCACCTCTTGTGTCTCCATTGCATGCTAATGTTATGTAGGAAATAGAAAAAGCTAGTTCAAATACACATTAGTATAAGATTGACAAAATGCAGTGGTATTTGCGCACACTATCAACTGCTTTAGACGAATGTATCAAGTAAGGAACTGACTCTCCAGCAGCCCTTTCGCTCACATTCTATTAAATACTGCCAAATTGATTTTGATAACAATTTTCAATTAAGGCTCTGCATAAATTACTGTTATAAGTGACACACGTTCATATTTCATTTAGCAGATGCGATTACCAGGCGCGTCGATAGGTCCAGCGTGCGCATGTGTGTGTATGTGTACGTGTATGTATATGTGTGTGAATACAAGGACATAGGCAGTATTCCAGTCAGCTCTCACCACTTTGATTGTATTTTCCTTGTTTCATTTCTTTGCGGTGGTCAAAGAACAAGGTGTCAGCAGGGGTGACGTGTCTGAGGGAAGGCAGCATGCAATCACATAGGCTTATATATTCCTCTGGACTGAATGAAAGAAAGCATGTGTTTTACTGTGGCACTGCTAACATGAATTTCACTGTACATGTACTTTCACCCCCCACCGTGTTGGAGAATGACAGAATACATCTCCACATCTGTTACATTTGAAAATTGAAGGGAACAAATCGAGCCACTAAGCTATCGGAAATGTAATGGCAAATACATTCAAACTTGCGCATGAATCATTTAATCATAATAGCCTTAGATTCTGTAAGGTACGTGTACATGCACTTTAGAAAAATAGCGGTCCAATTGAAGGGCATTGTGTAACGTTTTGTCCGCTACCTTCTTTTCTCCATGGAAATATTAATGCTTTGACTGCAGTGTTTTGCAAAATGCCATTAAACATATTTATTTCCGTGAAGACAAGTAGGTAACAGTATCAAGCAATTTTACAGGTGACAGTGGTTTCTTTTTAGCAATTAACACGTCTTTAATGGAGTAATTTTTTGATGCCATACTGTGTAATGGAATAACATCTCCAAAAAGATCTCTACAAAGCTTGGCTACGTAGTACACCTTTGAAATAAACGTATCAATAATTGGACAGTTTGTACAAGCACATTTTCAGTTGGATAGTCATAAACAGCTGAACACGCCTTTATTTTAGCAACAAACATAAACATAACCAAAGCTATCACGCTAATGTCATTTTTATTTCCATTACATTCCCATTAAGTGAAAGATGACAGGTAATTTGGTCGACAGTATATGAGACAAATATTATAAAAACATAATTTACCACACCTTGGCATCTGTTAAATGGGACATTGAATAAATATACAATAATATGGGAGCAGTTATGACTCAGATAGTGACAATAACAGCGTTTCTGCATTTGAAGTGTATGTGTGATGTGTGTCTGTGTTTGTGAAGTACCTGGCAGTTGAGTTTTGAAATACACGACGCTTTCCCGTGATTGCGCTGTCACTGCCTCTATTTCAGTGTCACAAAATAAACGTCACAGCCTACACCGGTTCATTTGGCCGTCCCAACCGATCCTCCGCACTCTCATGTGGAAATCAAGTCCTTCAAAATGTTTTCAGATTGCAAAAATAAGCCCTTGACAAGGAAAATGGAAACCAATAAGAGGTTATTTCAAAATGTTTTAAGATTACAACTATTTTTTTCCTCAATCTTTGTAATATTAGTCTTTTATGTGTCATTGCATGTTTTGGGTTCAAATTATGTCTTTTCAAAACAATTCATATTTTATTTATTCATTTTTTATAGCAAGGTTCAATGTCAGGGCTGTTCTTTACAAAAAGCAACTAGTAACTTCCAAGTTTCTAAAATGTAGAATGTTGAAAAGGTCCTCTTAAGAGCTCTTAAAAGCATTTTACCCTCTCTGGGATCCTCTGCATGTCAGCATAATCAGCAAATGATAATTCAGGGTATTTAATCCATGCTAATTAAAAAGCCCAGTACATGACTCATCCAGGCTTTATGGATGTTCTGTGTGTGTGTACGATGCCTGTATCTTGACTGTCTTTCTGATAATGCCTGTTGCCATAGCTACATCAAACACCTCAACCCTTGCATTGTGCATGTGTTAAGTGGATATTAATTTCTGCCCTATGGCGCAGCTACGAGCTAGGTACTTGGTTCATACAGGCTGATTAGCTGAGCAGCAGGGGGCAGGAGAAGGTGATGGTGGCACTAACGGCATCTCTATTAAGGTGTGTCAGGGCACGAGAACCTGCATACTCTATGATTAATAATGAGGCTAAGTATTCCTCTAATATATTCCAGAACAAAATGGCTGCCTTAAGGCTTGCTTTTTACCTATTCTATGCATGTGAAATGTGCCACACGTCGGCTCCATATGTGTTAAGGATTCATAACTATAAGGAATAGCCAATACTATACATTCATCTGAAAGAAGGCAAGTCATTTTTGTTGTATATTTTAATTAATGAATTGGTCCTTTAGAGAATTCCTGAGATTACATGATCTGACCTGATTTTTCAGACTAATCAGAAAGCATTTTATTTACCGATAATCAGAAATTGCATGTTAGGTTGACCATCATGACACTGGCCTCATCATGAATTGTGAAAAGCACTTATAAACTCATTGTGGTGAATGATTAGTGTTATCAATATTTTCAGCTAGTCCAAGAAAGGGTGAAAGTAAAAGGCTGGAGACCAACTGGATGTCTTACGTAGGAGAAGTTTATGTACCATCAATAATACAGGCCCGGGGAACTTGAAAAGTCAACATAGTATGATTTCAAAAGTGAACATAGTATGATCTTTGAGTGTTCAAGCCCCTTTTGTATGCTTCCAAAGGAGAAGCTTTACAAAGTGTGGTGAGACTATGAAGGCCAGTAGACCCCACAATTGACAGCAATATGCCACAATTTAGATAATGGTATGTCTACTCATGGTGTAAATATAACATTTGTGAGTCAATGTTAAACTGAGATGTATGTGGAAGATAAATTACTTAAATTCTTTCACAATTAGGATGCTCGAAATGCAAAAGGTGAATGAGGAATTACTTTAGACCTCTGGACACAGTACTCTTTTTCATGTTTTCTCAGACAGTACAAATTAGGTACAGTGCCTTTAAGTTGTATTTTTCTTGGTATGTGAAGTAGTAAATTTAAGTTTCTCTTTAAGTTTTTAGAACAGTATGAAAATGAGCATATATAACATTGCATTAATTTATTTATGTGTGTAACCCTCTTGATAGACAAATACTTAAATATTTATCCATGCCATATTGAAGGATTTGGAGGGTCCAAAAGTCTGCTTCTCAACAAGTGAAGTTGGCAACCATTTTCCTATAGGGACTAAACTTTACTCTTATAGTGTCTGGATTAACTTATGAAAGAATTGGAAATTGGAAGAGTGAGAGGAGGAGCTGACTGCAGAGACTTGGAAACAAGATAGAGACAACTTTTACAACTAAGAAAATGTCATGTAACTTTCTCCATCATTGCTTCATCTTCAGCTAGGGGAAATGTTTTTATAGCATTGGGACAGAATAAGAGCCATAGGTTTGTAAGGTGGTCGTGACAATGCATAAGTTAGTCCATATATGAGTTGATGTGCTTCTCCCTCTGCTCTGTTATCCAATCACAGCAGAGGGACCCATGTGCCCACTCCACTCCCACTCCGTGATGGAGAGATGGAGAGCACCTCAAGTACTGCACTTAACAAATCTCCTTCACAATTCTCTCTGCATTCTTCCCTGCCCTCTGCCTTACTTTGGAACTATTTAACAAAGTAAAAGTGTCTAGCAGATGTAGCCATGTCTGCTAATGTAAATGGGATTGTAAATGGAATAGTTTTTGTCAAGTTGTATGTAGGTAGTTTTAGATGTTCTTAAGTCAAAATGTGCTGGAAATGTTTACAATGACAAACAATTTCAAATGCCACATAAGAAAGAATGTAGTTTTAGGGAGTGCCAAGGATTTAATTAATATTCCAATAACCCATCTTATCTAAAACATGCTAATCAAACACACACTGAGATTTTTGTATTCATTTTAGCAGTTCAGTTTTTCGTCTTTTCTCAAATCCATGTGTGTCCCCAGTTGCATGAATAAAATATTGATCTTACTGATAACAATTTCAATCTTGGTTTATTCTTAGTTGAACATGAAGCCTAAGTTGTTGATGTTGATGTCATGTTGTGTTTTGGTTCTCAAGATGATCAAATCAGAAAGCAGAATAAGTTATTCATTAGGGTTGCCAGTTCCTATGATGAAAACTGTTGGAAATAAACCTAAGAGTGTTCTCTCTGATCTGAATACACACTAGCTAAACTTACTACCTTGAAGAGAATTCGAATGACCACAGTAATTTAGTAGGGAGGTTAGTAAAAGAAAAATTATATTCTGTCAATTGGACAAAAGTTTTTTTGTTTTGTTTTGTTTTTGTTTTAATTGATTGAAGATGTTTTGGAGCTCTTCCAAGCAGTTTCTTCAGTTCTGGTCAGATTACTAGTGGACACTGCCTTATATCTGCCTGGAGGAGCCAATTACACTGAAACTACACTGACACTAACACACCTACCTGTTTACACTTTCTGTTTGTTAGCTAGGTCTATTGAACTATACTAAGTGAACAAAAAAACTAACTTTTGTCCAGTTGACAAAATTGATTTTTTTTTTTTACTTTTGCTGTTGATCCTATCTATAATAAGTAAAATATAAATTTCCTTCAGGATAAATAAAATATCTATCTATCTACCTGGATGACTGAAGGATTACACAGACATTTTGGTGAAGTTGATGTTGCTGTTCTGGTGTGGGTTAGCCTGAGGAAGATTTGGGGAATATCCATGATGAAAAATGCAGTTTGACGTTCAATGACTGCAAACAAAAGTATCATGTTTGTGGTGTTAATAAAGGTTTTACTCTCACTCAGGTTTATAGTTCTGGTTAAAGCTCCTGACAAAACACCTCACATTTCGTCAACAGGAATTATCAAACTCACCCGCAACAGTGAGATCACACATTACAGACACCAAATCACACAACAATACAAAATAGATCTGATTATAAAAGTAGTTTAGTTTCAAAGTCTTTTGTTAATGACATACATGCACAAGTACTTAATAAGTTTAGTTACTGCAGTGTGATATGGCCTGAAATTATGATCATGATATGAAGAGTAAATATTTGTCATAATGATATAATGGACACTTTACCTGCATACCTATTTAAAGGTGGCTTTTATATTGTTTCAGGCTCTTTAAAGACTCTTTGCAGACTCTTGTGAGCTTTAAGTCATGTAAGAACGTTGCTGACCTCATCAAAACATACTCAGAGTTGTGTTAACAGCTCCTTTTGTTCAGTAGAGAAAGGCAATTCCAGGGCTGAAATCATCGAAATGATTGTAGTGAAAATGTATAGAGCAATAAAATACCTCCTGTATTAACACATGACATCACAAGGTGGACATGAGTGTGACATGGAGGATTTGTGTCTTCAACATGCGTGAGTGAAATGAAACACAACTCCACGTATATTTTTGATGAGGAAACAACATTATAACATAGATTTGAAAATCTCGATGTCTTTTTTGTGTTAAAGCATGTGACCCCCTGTCCCAAGACAAATTTCTCCCATGTGAGACAATAAAGGATTATCTTATCTTATCTTATCTCTTGTCTTATAGGGTAATATGGGCCCTTTAGGATATGAATTCTGCTTTCACTGCTCACGTCTTATCTCTTTCGTTATTCAAGTTTTTAATAGCAATCAGCCACAGTCTCTGTCTACTTCCACTCACAACTTAGAGGAAAAACACATTTTAAATAACTCCCTATATATCATAATATATAACCAGCATTACAGTATGACTCACCGCTACTGTGTGATCTTTCTGTTCTTTTTTGAAATTATTTTGTGTGTGTGTTCTCAGGGTCGGACGTGATCAATTTCGATGGACAAGGTGTCATCTCCTATCGTTTTAAGGTATGCATTTTCTCTGGTACATTAACTGTATTACTGTATTTTTAAATTGTATATTTGTATAATATAACCTGCACAAGTAGAGCCAGTAACTTTGATAAAATCCATCCAGTCATACTCAGTTATCTAAAAGTAGTAGTAGTTGGTTTGTTTTCTAGTTGGATCATTTTTGCATTAAACCATCCCATAGAAATGTTTATTTTTGTTTTCACTTATTCTCCATATAGTTTAAAATACTTCATAGTACCTTCGTTTTAGTCATCACACTTGATCATGTATGATAATAATTGTTGATAATTACCCAGATATGAACAAATTCATTCAGCTTTTGAATTTTTCAGATTTTCATTTTTTGCATGTAAGAAAACATTAAAGGTCCTATATTACGCAAAATTGTGAGCTTTTAGTCACGTTATTAAGTTGCTACCTCTTCAAAAACAGACCTGGTGTCATGTTTTGTTTCATTCGCACATGCTTTGAGTAGTTTCTTATTAGCGTGTCTACATCTCCAAAGCTCAAAATGCTCTGTTCCACTTTGTGATGTTATGAAGTTTTCAAGTTAACAGCTACTTTTTACCTTTTGGTCAGTATAGATTGACAGTTCGAGGGCTGAAATCATCCAAATGATTCTACTGAAGGTGTATGAAGTTCAAAAACACAGTGGAGCATTTCCTGCATTACCACATGACATCAGTGTTTTTCTGTTATAGAAAAACACAGACTAAATAAGATGGGTTTTTGTCTTAAACATGTGTGAATGAAACAAAACACAATTGCAGGTATGTTTTTAACAAGGAAAAACATATAGCATAGATCAGAAAATAGCGTAATTTAACTTACAATTCTTACGTAAATTAAACTGTAATGGAGAAATTAAAGTAAGCTTAACCCCATTCTCAAGTTGTCAAATCATTTCCCTGATGATAGACCAGGCTGGCTGTTGTGTGAATGAAGAGCAGATGTGGTCACTACTCTTCGTCTGTTGCAGGTGAAGAAGATGAAGATCATTAAAGACGTAATAGCTTTGAGATTCAAGACTTCAGAAAGCGAGGGCGTCATTCTGCACGGGGAGGGCCAGCAGGGAGACTACATTACCCTGGAGCTCCGCAAGGCCAAACTTCTTCTGCAGATAAATTTAGGTAGGCAAAAGTACATGTCATCCTTTAGACGATATAAAACAGCAGCGCTCCTCTGCCCGCTGGCTCCGACAGGTACTAAGTTGGAGGTAGACTTGTTCGCCGGTGCTAGTCACAGAATCTTAATAGAGATAGCAGTGGGAGCAGCTCTTTTATTGTCCACACAGCAGAACAGGCACTGTAAAGCACAAGTCTAGGGGGAGAGCACTTACTAAATACTGGTACTACTGGTATACCAAGCTGCTGTTGAAGTAAACACACACACACACAATTCTTAGTTGAGTTCTCCCCAAAGACTGAAGCCATTGATTAAACAAATAGTGCGCAAAATATTAAAGGTGCACTATGTAAGTTTTGTGCAGAAAGGTCCATTATGTGCTTGTTTCCATGGAGATTTTGTCTTGTTTTGTCTGGAGTCTTTCACAGTATGTCTTTCAACTTATCTATCTTGCATTTATTTCATTACAGATGCTTTTATTGTTGTTAAAATACATGGAGATAAGAAAGTTTAATGCCATATTGTGGAACATTCCAGACAAAACAACAACATGTCCATTGTGACAAGCAGGTTGCGTATCCTCCACCAGAAAATACAACAAAGTAAAATAAAGCCTTTAAGAAATACAACAGCAGTCAGTAATAGAGTGATTTGTCCTACTTTACAGTTGTGTGTTCAGTTTTTGAGATTATTTGCATGTGTATTGTGTTACCACAGATTTTCCTTTTTACTTCTGCCCCAAAGACATGTTTAATAATTTAGCTGCAGATACTCAAACTGATTATAATTCTGTACCATTTTATCCTGTCCAAAATTCTAGCAGTTTTCAAAGCGTAATATTGTCGTTGTCCCACATGTACAAATTTACATATTTCATACCGTTGTTTTCCTTGTTTACTTGTGCTAGCTGCTAAATGACTTTCTTAATGTCTGTGTTTACTTACAGCTAAAACATGTTCTCCCCCTTAAACAGGTGTCATCTTGTCATAACTTAGACCAAATACCAAACCATCTGTTGTGAATTCACTTTAATGTTTTTTATATTTTTTCCTCCGGTAATTACAGGCAGTAATCAGTATGGCTCTATTCTGGGACACACCTCAGTCACCACAGGCAGTCTGCTGGATGACAATCACTGGCACTCGGTGGTGATCGAGCGCTATCGGAGAAACGTCAACTTCACTCTGGACAGGCACACGCAGCACTTTCGGACCAATGGGGAGTTTGATCACCTCGATTTGGATTATGAGGTAGGGATAATAGAGGTAAACCGCTTTAAATACTTAATTTTATGTTCAAATCTCAAAGGTCACACATTACACAAAAGTCTCTCTTGTGAGCTTTAAAAACCTCCTTAAAAACAAAGCTAGAGTTATGTTTTGTTTCATTCACGTATGTTTGACTAACCCTTTATTGTTAGTCTTCCTACATCTGCAAAGCTCAAAATGCTCTCTTCTACCTTGTGATGTCATCTAGTGGTAGTTTTCAAGTTAACAGCTCCCTTTTACCTTTAATTCAGCAGAGATGGGCAATTCCAGGTAGGTAATATAAATAATTTTTGTGATTTTTTTAGATTTTTTTAAGGTGTATGGACTTTAAAAACACGGTGGAGCACTTCCTGTATTATCACATGCCATCACTAGGTGTTTCCTGAGCGACAACTCAGCCTAAATATGCAGGATCTCTGTGTTAAACATGTGTAAATGAAACAAAACACAACTCCAGGTATGTTTATGATAAGGAAACAACATTTTAACATAGATCAGAAAATAATGTTACGTAGGCCCTTTAACTGATAAAAAGTTGTCATCCAATTTACTGATAAGAACCATTGCAGCAAGGGTGAATATTTGGTTACTAATCCAGGATCTGCTCTTTAAATGTTTTGTGGATTTGGCAATATATTAGCAGCGTTAAAATGTCTTAAATTTCATCCGGAAATCCCTGGAGGAACCCTATACAACCACAGCCACCACAGATACATCAATTAGACATAGCAATCAGATCACTTCTTGGCGTCCTCCTCCGCTCTCAGACTTAAAAGACGAGCAACATAAAACAGATCTAATGGAGACGGAAAAGGGAAAAATGCAATTAAGTGTCTTGGTAAACTGTGCTTGCTGCCAGGAGAGCTTACATATGCTTTGGCAGTGGTTTCTTAGGTCTTTTCACTGGAATAGGCCTCTGGGTACACTGGGTTCCTCATTTTGTCCAAAGATAGCCCTGCTTTAAGTGAATGGGTGACTCTAAATTTCTTCTATGGACCGAATGTAATGTGAATATAATATCTGTCAATACTGCACCTATCCATGGGTTTCAGAATGATAAAAAATTAGGACTGTTGCCATAGCGATTGCCAATTTAAAACCAGACATTATATAGTTCTGAATAAGAAAAAGTCGTCACAATGTTGCATACACCACCAAGCTGAAACACATGAAATCGGACCAGAAAGCTGCTAAACAAGTCAGTTAGTCACTCTCATCATTTTGTTGAATATCAAATTAGTTTAAATCCATATTGTATTTTTTCTTGAGTTTTCAGACAATCTTAAAACTTTTTTGTCAGTGTTGGTTAATGTGCGCATTGTGTCTTTCGTCTTAGAGATACATATAGAACATTGTTTCCCAAAGACTGGGCCGCAACACACAGATTATTTTGGGTCACCTTGTCACGATCTGCATGTAGGTCAATTGAATGTTGAAAAGAAATAGAAATTTAATGTCCAAGTAGGCTGCTTATGGATTCCTTTTATTGCTGGTTCAATTACTGTTATTCATTGTTTACAACTTGAGTAATACTAATTGTTCAGAGAGACACGATCACTCAGTCAACAATAAAATATCCTCATTAATGATCAAAAATGGTTAAATCTACCTTTATTTTGTGATTTACGAATAATAATATCTATTGACTTGGGTCGCAAAGGTTTGTGACTTTTAAAATATGAGTCCCCAGAAAAAAAAGTTTAGGAAACACTGATATAGAACAACCCCAGCATGATGTCACTGCAAAGTATCAATTGTGGACCCTATGTTAAAAATTAAATCCATTTTTACATCTTTTCCCCTTTATATTTTCTAGACTATCTTCTATCCTTTGTTGCTCTATCACATAACTGCTTTTCTCTTTGCTATACATTGATACCCACAGGAAATGAGATATTGGCTTTACACTCTACAATAATGCTAATCCATGAGGCATAATGAATGAGTATGAGCAATGGGAGGCAGAACCATCAGCTAATAATACTTACAGGAAATTGATTTTTGTACTGTATAATTGTATAAATGTAGTCTGTGTAATTTAAGCCATGTGTACTGATATCCACATGTGCTTTCATGTGTGGCCACTATACTGCTGGCATGGCTGGTCTTTATTGGTAGGATCAGGACAAGTGGTGCATGATAAAATACAGGCCAATTAAAATGAAGGTGGTTTAAGCATTCTCCACACAAATCCACACTACAAGGTTGACCAGAAGGTTATGCCTTAAAGACAAACTGCTCACTATTACTTATGTTATCCCAACCTATTCCAAAAACTGTTCTGGTCTGTGCAGTCCATTGATTTAATGGTGATTACAACTATTGCTCTAATCAGTTACAGTTGTGTAACTGAAAATGCAGTTGATTACATTCTGTTCTGAGTAATATAAGAACTGAAAACCTCCTCTAATCTACAGTGGCAATGAAAATATGCACCATAAAATGACAAAGTATTTTATCGGAAGTGCCTTTCGTTTAGACTGTGACAGCGTTTTTGGGGCTTAAAAACACAAAAATCTGAAACCACCTTCCAGAGTGGAAAAGTTGATTACTCTCCGCCGTAGCGTTTGAGTCTACATTGCCCAAGACGCAAAACTCTGGTTAGATCTGCTCATGTCATGTACACGTTTACGTCACATACATACAATACGCAGAAACCTGGCATGCATACCCAATCGAATTCCACACACCTTTGCGTCACCATATGCACGCATATTTCCTCCTGAAAACACTCATCTAAACATGGAATAAAAAGTGAAGACGCGATGCCACTTTTGTGCCTTCTGTTCAGACCATCATCATATAAATGTAGCCTTAAAGGTCCACTGCGCAACTTGTCACACTGAGGGTCTGCTACCATGGAGATGCTTTTGCTTTTGATTGTATGCAGATAAGATGCAGATACAAAATCTTGCCTGTAAATTGGCCTGATAGCATCTCCTGCTTATTTCTATGGAGATTGAAAAGATTAATGCCATACTTTGGAATACTTAAGGTAAAGCAATAACATCTCCATGGAGTCAAGAAACTGGCGGGCCCTCTATAAGAACAGTTATACAGCGCACTTTAACTTTAAGAGTTTTTGTTTCACATAATCATGATTTATATTATGACAGAACCAGCCCTATTTCCATCTCAACTATTAACAAATCTCAGCCAATTTGCCACTTCAAAATACTAATACTACTGTACGAGGAGTCCGAAATATTGCACTTCACCCAATCTTCTGGCCTCAGTCTTGTGGGCATTTTGTTTCGTTCCCATTTAGGCCCATAGACTGAATATCCGGAGCGTTTGTGTTTCCCCACAAGCAGTAATTACTAAAACTACTGAAGCGCGGCAACAGCGTTCACACACACACACACACACACACAAAGATAGGCAGACACAGATCTACTGGTAATTGCACAGCTCTCTCCATCAGCCAGGACTTCCTCAGGCCCAGCTCCTATGTGAAAGTGAACACATGTAGTGATGCTAGAAGAATATGCTACACATTTTACATTTTCTTTAGTTCTGTGTCCTTGAGTTCGTCAACCAGATGTCTGTTTATTAGCCTCTTTGCCTGCGTTTTTCTTCTCTCATTGCATCTGTGTCAAGCATATTTATTTTTCTTACAGGTTTTACATAATCTATAGAAATAATCACAAAAATCTCTATAGTGCGTGCATATACAGGGTGCATGCATTCCTTTAAGATCTGTGAATCTTAAGTATGTGTTTGTCAGAACATCTTATAATCAGTTGAAGGGTGGATAATGTGACAGTGTCTGCTGATGAAATTAGCAAATAGCTTTCTTATTGTATAGTTAAAAGTAAGTTAAGGTTTTTTCGCTATAGATACTGAATCATATTTCATTTATCACTTGCCAATAATAACAATAATAATGCTAATAGTCTTTTCCCAGTGCTCAAAGTTGATTTACAGTTCTGTGCATTAATCATTCTTTCCATATTTACTGTGGTAAGATACTACTTTACTCACAGCTGCCCTGGAGTAGACTGACGAGCCTGACAATCTGTGCCATTGGCCCTATACCACCATCTCTCATGCACACGCCACATTCATACTTATACTTCATCATACTCATACAAAAACACAACAAAATTAAAAAGTACTAAAAGTAGTGCTAAAAGTTGAGAGCCCCACTATGGCAGTTAGTATTCTTAGTGGTTTATCATCCCAGTATTGACCAGGATCAACCCTGCTTAGCTCACGAGATCACAGGAGATTGGGAATTGTCATTGAAAAAGTGTATGTAAAAAGTACATTTACCATTAAGTAGTATTCAGAAATCAAATAAAGTTATGTACAGTCTAGTTCTCAGAAAGATGTTTCCATAATCTCTGAGTCATCCAGCTATTTACTGTCCAGTTGTGCGTAATGGTGTTTCGTCAATTGCTTTGTGTGTTGTTTTTGTTTAGTTGAGTTTCGGGGGGATGCCGTACAGCGGGAAGCCGGTGGGAGGAGGCAGGAAGAACTTTAAAGGCTGCATGGAGAGCATCAACTACAACGGAGACAACATCACTGACCTGGCCCGCAGGAAGAAGCTAGACACCTCCAGCTTTGTAAGGCTCTGCACACACATGTTCATTATCTAAAACTAATGTGAAATGTCATTATTTGTACTTAGCAGCTGATGTCAGTAACATTCTCTGAAGTTAGCTTTAAGCACTCTTTTACTCAAGTTAGACTTTAATCTGATCTTAATTTTAACACAATCTGACCATAAAGAAGAAACTTAGTTGGAGCTATAACAGGTGAGTTGATTTGTGCTACTAAACAAGTGTCTCACAAATAAAATTACCGGTTACATGCTGCCTTTCCAACATACTGCCACTCCGACATTGACATCTAATTGTCGGAGTAGCAGAGTTTCCATTTTTTATCAAACATCCCTCCACTCCAACATTCGACACATCGCTACAAGGAAATTATTAAGTTGCGGGAGCACTCTTTTTGGGACAATATTTTCACAGACTGGTAGCGTAGGATTTGCTGTGTGCGAGGCGTACGGGAGGAGGCTCGGTCCACGTGGCGTATACGAGGCAAAAAAGGTGATGCTGCAAATTATTAGTAGGTTGTCAGAATGACAACATAAAAGGTGTCGGAATGGCGGCTTCAAAAAATGTCGGAATGGCGGCTTGTCGGAATGGAGGGTTATCGGATTGGCAGAATGTCAAAGTGGGGGTCTGTCGGAGTGGCAGTATGTTGGAGTAAGGGTTTTACGCCATTAGCCAACTGTTTTTCAAATCGCCATTTCTTGTTGAAAATTAAACACCTAAACAGGACCATGAACACTCATTGAGCACGTCCTGAAAACGTGCTGTAAATGGGTTTCAGACCATCTTAAAACCTTTTGACAGTGTTCGCTAATGCGTGCAGTGTTTCATCATAGTAAGTACTGAAAATTCCACAGTAGAGATACATGTAGAACACCCCCTACATGATGTCACTGCATAAGTAGCAATACCTTTCCCAAAGTCAACCAATTCACTGACCAAGTAATGATGCCTTTCTTGTGTGTAAATAGTGCTGATTTTTGTACACGATTATAGTGACACATTCTAACTAAAGCACAAAGTACAGTTAAGATATGACAAATACTTTCCAGAGAGCTCAGAATTTAAAGGAAACTTGCCTAACTTGTTTAAATGAATATCTCCATGGAGACAAGAGGATAATGCCACTAGGCAAAGTAAAGGTCAGATCTTCAGAGAGGCAATCCTGGATTTAAATAATATAAGATAGACGAGTTCCCTGCCATACTGCGAAAGGTTCCACTATGGCATTGCTACTATATCTTCATTGCAAAAGCATGTAGCAAACCCCCCCCCCCACCAGAAAAGTTTATATTAACAACAGTAGTGGTGTTATTAAGAGTTAGTTAGTTGGTTCTAAGTTATAATTAGTTAGTTATGCTGCTTATAGAAATTTGCAGCAGCAGAAGTAGTAGTGGTCACATTAGCCCTAGTGCAGAACTTTTCTAAGTAGCATTATTACTGGTAGTAGCCTCTGAAGCTGTCTGCGTGTGTTGAGCAGCCTCATTATTGTCGTACTAACTCTGTGCCTGACCTGACTGAGGGGGCACAATATTCACTGCACCAAAAAAGCGGATTCATAATTAATCAGATACAGCTGCCCTATCAGCGGCCCTGTGCATGTTTACCTCCTGTACCGACCCGCTCCCTTGATATCAGCGCTGGCATTTTCCCTCCGCCTCCAAAGACACCATTTAATTGCTACAATGGCTAACGGTTTGTTTTTGAAGCATCTTAAGCAATGCGCTCCTGTGCTCATCAAATGCTCCTCTCTCCAGACAGAGCGGTGGATGTAACCTTTGCTATGTTCCTTCCCGTGGAGAGGAGAGCCACCGCGTCTTCGATCCCTTTTCAGCTGATTAGACAAATGGGGGCTCTAATCAAGTGCATTAAAGTCTCAGTGATGACTCACGCTTTTCATTTGTAATCAAAGCGGATCCTTGCGCAAATTTCACACAGCCAAGCAGACGCAATTAGGAACCATCTATAGTTCAATATTGTACGTTTGATTTGATTTGATTAAGAGCGGGCTGAAGGAGCTCAACGGTAATTAGTGCCTAAAAGGCCACCATAATGTTTGTTTTTATCAGCGTTTATTTGTATTGGCAATATCCGGCTTTTAACTCTGACATTATCATTTAAAGCCACTTGAAGTCCTACAAGCTTTTGTAAATACAGTATTGAGTGCTTTAGCATTTGGCATTCATTAGTTCGTTCAGATGTAAATATGTCAAATCCATTTCAGGCATTCCCAGGTGTAATGTGTAGTGTACCCAAGTTTTAATGTCATTATGCCAACCATAAACCCATTTTCAGGGCTTCCCTTAACACTTGGCTGTGATTGTTTTTTTGTCCGGTTTGCTAATAAACAGCTTCAACATTTTTTTTATTTTAATTTTTTTCAGTTTTATTTTTTGAAAGATACTGTCCACTGGCAAACTGGCAAATTTCACAAGAGCTTCATTTGTTTTAAGCTCTGTTACTCACACATCCTCGAAATTGTTTTCTTTACTCATCACACTTCAAAAAAATACTGAAAAATAGTATCTTTTTGCATCACCCACAGACAAATTCCAAATAGATTTTTTGTTTTGTTTAGTTTATAATGTTTAGTGTCCCTGATCTATGTTTTATATTTTTTATGTCCTCACAGCGTAACCTGTCCTTCTCATGTGTGGAGACCCATACCTTCCCAGTCTTCTTCAATGCCAGCAGTTTTCTGCAGCTGCCGGGACGAGCCAATCACAACGTGTTATCAGTGGCATTCCAGTTTCGGACGTGGAACCCTGATGGACTTCTGCTCTTCAGTAACCTAGACGACGGGATATTGGAGATTTCACTCGAAGAGGGAAAAGTTATAGTGCGGATCAACGTGACAACAGCGACAAGAAACTACAAAGTGGACTTGTTATCAGGTAACACAGAGCAACAATATTTAAGATATGCATTCTGTGTTTGATTTTGATGAGATCTTTGTTGTGATGATAGTGTGTGTCAAAGTTAACCTTTTTTTAAGATTTACAAAGATTTAAAGTGACTCATTATCATGCTTTTCTAATTAATATATTGTTTGATATTTCGTAAGAATAAGAGTTGATCTACCAAAGCATGATTTAAGTTTCAAATACTGTCCTTGTCCTCAATAAATAAAAATACACATACAAATACAAATAAATACAATAGTGCAACAATAATTCACCAGGAGGCTTTTGTAGCTGTTGACGCCAATTCTCAGTGACCTAAATTTGAATATGTCCTCCTTTAGTACTCTTTGCTTCCTCTCCAATCTTTCAATGGATGCACTCGTTTTTTGTGGCCTCTGCTGCTTTAATAGACCATTATGTCCTGGGTTAGAGATTATTACAGAGTTACCCTCAAGGCTAATTGGACTTGCACCTGCGGTTGCATCCATGTTAGAATACAAAGACCAAAACACACAAAACACACATGCTTGTTTAAGGCAACTGTTTTCAGAAAAATAAAACTAGAATTATGTGAATCTGTCACTTTTGATAATGTAATTCTTACCTCATGAATGGTGGCTGGTATTCGTAACAACATAACCACAACAGAGGCAAAGGAGAATGCACTATTCCCGGTGGGGAGTGGTTTTATTTATTTATGAAGTTGTGTAGTAACATCAGTCTCACATGTTGTCAGGTTTTTTGCTTCTTTTGCAGCAGCTATGTAATGTTACTTAAAGATGGACTAAACACTAAATCAATGTTTCTTGCTACATTTTGATAACTACTGTTGTGTTGTGCATTTCTGACTGGACTCTGCATTGTGGAGTCTCTGTGTTTTGTGCATTAGGAGAAGGTACTTACCTGAAACTCCTGAGAAGTCTAATTGAACTTGAGAACTCAGCAACTGTTTTTAGTCTTCAAGTAATCACTGTAATTGCTTAAGTTTGTTTAGAATTGATGAGACAAGTGAGCCAGATTAACAATTCAAATATATGTGGATAGATGTCTGTTTGCATAACATTTCTTGCATTTGTCCTTGGAACTAGGGTATCTGATTGACAGGAATCGCCTTAATAGTAACTGAACATTTTGCATATTGCATTTTTCTACAAATTATGCAGCTCTAGCATCCTTATATGTTTCTCCTCTAGAGTCCATTACAAGACATCATGAGAAATATGTTATCTTAAACCACAGTTCCCCATATTTCTTATACATACACATAATGTTTTCAATTTCAGCCTAAAGCAACTGCATCATCCCTGCAGATCTCTCACTCTCATTCACATCCACACATACAGTAAGGCTATTTGAACAGTCCGAATAAGAAGTACGCTATATGGCATTATAATAATAGAAACGCCTGAGGCACTGATTTGAGACTGAAAACACTAGCTTGCCCAATTGTGATGTTATAATGTTTTGATAATGTGCAGTGTGTGGCTCTATACACACACTGCTGTTGTGTGTATCTGTGCAGGTTTAATGTATCTTATGTGTTTGTGTGGTGGGAATATTGTCATTTGTGGTGATGCGAGACACTGCTAAAGCCACAGAGGAACTGAATTTGGGAGAGCAGGAGCTGAAAGAGGGTTCATGAATGCCAAAAGCTGCCATAAATTTCAAATGGCACTTAAAATTCATTTATATGTACATAGAAAGTTGCATAGTGGAGGAAGATGGGAGAATGGGAAAAAACTGGTGTGAAATATATATGCTTCTCAGACATAAGAATAACAATGAATGAGTAACGCTATATCTAGTGCATATACAACATACATAACAACAAGAAAATACATGGTAATGGCCCACTGAGTTTATCTCTGTAAATAATTTTTCAACTCAAGGTTTGAAATGTATTATGCAAAAGAGTTGAATTCTCATTACAGAGACTATAAAGGATGTTTGCTTGCATATTATCCTCGTGGACAAAACTAATGAAAACAAATGTTCCCTAAAATTGCTTGAAATATGTATTTGTGGCTTTTCTTTATTTTCTGATATGGGTGTAATTGGTTTTCACCTGACCAGCTGCTCCCACCCACTGTCTATTAACACAGCTCTGCTTCCCTAAAGAGGCAAACATCCAGTGAGTTAGCATCCTGTGATCCATTATGAAGCATCTGTCTGAGCACAGTCTTAAGGCTTTTATGGTGAAAACTATTTTTTATAATTATTTATTATTTATATTTGTTTTTCATATTGCTCAAATCTAAGAAATCTACCTGGATGCTGGTGGAGAATATGAATCTAGAGGAAGTTTAGTACTGGCAAACACTGCAAAATCATATGTCCAATCTTACCTCTTTCAGTTTTAATATTTTCTGTTGATCCAAAGCAAATAATAAGATGATAAGATGATGATTAAAATATACCTTTAATTAGCTTTTAGTCATGGTATAATGCTTTTACATCCTCAAAAACATACCTGGAGTTGTTTCATTCACACATTTCAGTAATCTTTTGTTATTAGTCTGTTTCCATCTCCTCAGCTCAGAATGCTCTGTTTTACCTTGTGATGTCATGAAGTTTTCAAGTTAACAGCTACCTTTTACCTTTAGTTTAATCGACATTGGCAATTCCAGGTCTGAAATTATCCATGTATGATTCTAGTGAAGGTGTATGGAGTTTAAAAACACATGAGAACTTCCTGTGTTGTCACATGACATCACAGGGTAGAGAGTGTTTTCTCAGAAGAACTCAGCCTAAATTTGCAGGATTTGTGTATTAAACATGTATGAATGAAATAAAACTAAACTCCAGGTATGTCTTTGATGAGGACACATTATAACATACATCAGACAAAAGTGTAATATGGGCCCTTTAAATGCCTTGTATAAAGTCACTTGAATCTTAGACTTAGACTTAGACAAACTTTATTTATCCATAAGGGAAATTACTTGGACACAGTAGCTCACACACGACATTATATTATAATCAGCTATAACTGTTTTGTTTGTTAAGATACCTTGATCCTTCATTGATATAATCCTTCATTGTAAACAAATGGCTAGTTCCCATGTTGATGTTTTGACCTTTTTCTCATGCATTGTATTTAGTATTCAATCCAAGCAACCATGGTTCTCACTATTTCACTCATAAACAAAAGTATTTAGTCAGTAAAAGTATTTAACTGTTGTTGATGAAGTAGTGCCTGTATACTGTCAGAAGGCTATTTCTCCCATCACCACACTCCAGTGATCAGTGATTGGCCTCGCGGTCCCTAAAGTCATCTGCAGCACGAACCTCTTAACAAACATGCTTTGTTAGGGCTGTGGGGAAAAGAACATTAATATATAAACAAGGTCTTCATAATGGGGAGTACTTGTGCAGAACCCAGCAGGAGAAGTCTCAGCTAAAACTATCACATCATTGCCAACTACTTCAAATTTGGCAGTGTCTAGTCAGCTTCAGTAAAACTTTGTACATAAAGGGGGGGAAAAAAACATCTTGGAAAATATTCAACTTTAGTAGACTAATTACTTAATTTAGTTAAAAAGGCACTAATGGACTGAGAAGAAGTATTATTATTTAAAGGTGCATTGTGGCATTGTGTAACTTTTCTCATTACAGGTAGTTTTATAGCTCAAAAATACCTAGAGAAACAAGCACGACTGTGAGCAAGGTTGCCTCTCCATAGATCTGACCTGTAACCTGTAAAATAGAAAGGAATAATACAATACTGTGAATCATTCTAGACAAAGTAATAACATTTCTTTCACCAGAAAGTTAGACAATGTACCTTTAAAATGAATCTGGACCAGGGTTAGGATCCACAGTGTTTTAGATATACTGTACAATTTTGAAATATGGGCCAACGATATCATGGTTAAAATAAACTAATTCTAAATGTTTAAATCCTCATTAATATATTAAAATTGAGTAAAAAAGTGTGTAGAATGTGGCCCATTTCTGCTCCCTGTAGTCTAGACGCCATCCCATTGCTATCATTTGCTGTTTATTTTTGGTCTCTGTGGCAAATGGCCAAAATCAATAATATACAATGGCCTCCTGAGAAGTAGATCAACACAAATACACAAGGCAAGTTTTGAAAGCTCAAGAACTGGCCAGTCTAGACTTCAAAATATCACCTTTAAAAATATATAGATTCTTTTCTAAGGAGAGACGCTTCTAAAGGGTGACAGCACAACAACATGGATGAATGCACTTTTCTAAACATGGCAGGGACAAAACTCTCTTTAGTCCTCAAAGTATCGAGTAAAATGTTAGAAATGTAAACATAAGCAAAAATAGATCTTGCATGTTCAGAAGAATGAATGTGTGTGCATCTGCCCCAGTTTCTGTCAGCTGACTCAGACCAGTCCCGCTAAAGCACCACCCACTCTGTGAGCCCATGACTAATACATAACAAGCCAAAGCAGGACAAAAGGGAAAATATACAAATACTTATTTAAATACAAATGCAAAATAAAGTCATAAAAATTTATTTGTCATTTATCTATTCCTTTTCAGATTTTCCCCTTTCAGATTTGTTACACCTTTTGGGAATTACTTTTTACTATTCATGGATTTCATTCTTGATTCAAATGATTTGAATCTCCATTGAAAAGATATAATATTTTGATTAGAATTACGTTATTACAACCGAGGAGTATTGCCATGATAAATAATTCAAATCAGGGAGGAATCATTTTGCCTGAAACTTAGAAACTGTTGAATTATTCTTAGAGATGCATTGATGCAGCTTTTTCAGGTCCAATACCAATTTCAATACTATAGTTTTAAGTATCTGCTGATCCCCGATATCAGCCATTACCATTGACTGAAAACAACATTTATTTATTTTAAACAAAACTAAAATAAGACAAAACTGTTTTATGTAACAGTTATTTATGTCTGAAGTAACTACAGAACAGCTTTGTGTAAATAAAAGTTCAAACATTATAGACTTTCTGGGCCAACTATGTCCAGTAAATATTTGGAAATAT